CCAAGGAGGGGTCACTATGAGTCGGGTTTGACTCGACGGCACATAACAACAACGACAACTCGATCCATAACATTAAATTTCTGCAAACAGAACCTATGATTTTTATAAGAACCTTAGTAAACAACAGAGACTAGAAAACCACATTCTATTCTTATTTTTATGGTCCCTTCAAGGTTATAAAGATTAGTGAGAGTTACCCTCAGGGGAACTGTCATCTTTTCTTAGGTAAGAAACAGCAATGACTCAGTATCCTGGCCCACTCCAGTCTAGGACCTGATCTAAGCCATTCTACTTGACTTCACTTTGGTTAAGAGAAGACAGCTTTTCCCCCAAAGATACATCAGAGTTTACCTGAGTATGGGTGGCATAGTCCATTTGTAGCATATCATATTTTCCTGGTACCTTCTCAAACTTCTCACGATCCTCCCAATTATTTTTTGTTTTGTCAAGGAATCTGTAGGGTCCAAGATGGTAAGAAAACCTTATAAATAAAGGACAGCTGCTGAGATGAGCTTACAACTGTTTCCTTAGACCCCTCAAAAGTGTTTATTTCCCACAACAGAATTCCTTTACACATCAGCTTTCCAAAAAAGCCTGGATTACACATCAGGGCTCTGAATGGACAGAAAGCTCCAGAGAAAAACGGAATAAAAAAATGAGAAAAAAGGACTATGGGCTTCCCAAAACCACAAAAACGCCATAAAAATCACTGAAATTTAAGACAAATGATCTTTTCCAATCCTTTTCTCTTAAAGAAGCATGTTCCTAAAGCCTCCAGAAAACTCTCTACCCACATCATAGTAACAGTTTTTTTAAAATTCTAGCTCCACCCATAACGGTCTCCATTTTCCCAAAATTTCCTAAATTTCTTGTTCATGTGTTGACTATATTAGTCTTCTGCTTTTAGTCAATTTCAAGGCTCTACGTTGATCTAAGAATAAGTTTGGTGTTCCAATCAAAGAATGAATGGAAAGACAAACATTTAGGTCAAATCACATTTATTATAACATTTTTAATTTTAGAAGATCTATCTATAAAGGGTTATTTTTGTACTCATTACTTAGCACTCACTTCTTTTGAAAGATTTCCTTGGCCTTGGTGAGGTCCCCTGAACAAGCCACCAAGCTGTGCTGCCCCACTTTCCCAACTGCAAAGTAAATGACACAAATAAGATGGTTCTCTGTCCCTCAACCTTTGAAGAGTTCCTTTATAGTAACAAGACAGCTCCCTATGGTCTATTTGCTTAGCATCTGACAAATGGGCAGGAAAGGAAAAAAAGAAAGGTGGTAAGGCTTAGGGAAATGATCGTGTTCACATAAATCACCTGCTAACTGCTGTATTCTTTGGACACCACCAACAGACCAGTCTCGTAGTTCTCAGTCTCCGTGGGCTGCTCTTAGTGGCTTCAATGGCAACTTCCTAATGAGGATGACTATCATTTCCTAATTCTAAGAAGCCCAACTTGACTTCCAGTCCCTTCCAGACTTTAGAGCCTCCATTTAACCAATTCAAACTCAGAGGATCCTTTGGCTACATACTAAGCCGCTTTTGGGTTTTCTGAAGAACAACTCATAAAACCCATAGTAAAAGTCATTACCTCGGCCCCATCTCATCCAAACACTGAAGTTTCTCTGGGCATCATCTTCCAACAGCTGAATCAGATAGTACTTGTTGTTGTTGAACTGGAGATTGGTCTGTGATGAGTGATAGAAATAAACATATAAAGGAGATTAGGTATGTAAATGAAGCCACATATCCATAAGGAAAGCATGGGCAAGAAAACTAAATTTCCTATAAGAGTAAGTTTATAAGGAAGGAAATCAAACCACCAAATCCTAACCCACTATTGTCGAATCGATTTCAACTCACAGTGACCCTACAGGACATAGCAGAACTGCCCCACAGAGTTTCCAATGCTGTAATCTTTACAGGAGCAGACTGGCACATCTTTTTCCTGGGGAGCAGCAGGTGGTGAGTGCAGAACACCAACCTTTTGGTTAGCATCTGAGTGCGTAACTGCTGAGCCACCAGGGCTCATTAAGGAAGGAACAGGATTCATATATTACACTTTGAATTCCTAGGAATTAAAGAGTGAACCAGGAAGCTTCCTAAAACCCTCTACCCAACCTCAAATGTCCTATGTTGGCTCCTGTTTTGTTTTCCTGCCTCAGGTCCCTCCACAGACCTTCCCTAGGCCGTCTGCACTTTCTAGCTCCCAATTCATTCCCATGATTAATTCCCAGATGAATAAAATTCTGATGCCCCAACGGTCTAAACCAATTATACTTCTGTTTAGAAGATTACTCTTTGGTAGTTCTAATTACAGCTTTGGTTTGTTAGCTGTAGCAATTTGACAATAAGCTGAGAGGACAATGTTGGGAAGGGACAAAGGCCAAGCAGGAACCACTGACACATCTATGCCATACTAACCTGATCTGACTTGGAAACAATCAGAGTGAATGTGACTAGTGCCTAAAAGAGGTATCCTGTAAGTAACCAGAACTCAAAGTGAAGAGAGGGAGAGGTCCAGGATAAGGCACAGTCCTGGTTATTCAGACACTCTACTTTGTTAAATGTGCTGCCATTTCCTTCCTGCTCATATTATAGTAGTTATAAAGTTTTAAAACCAAAAACAAAACCCACTGCCATCGAGTCAATTCCAACTCACAGTGACCCCCGTTGGGCTTCTGAGGCAGTAAATCTTTACGGAAGTACACTGCCCAGTCTTCCTTCCGCAAACCTTAAAAAAAACACCTTAAGATCTTTTCTATCTGCCCATGAAAGAAACAGTAACTAAGGAACACTCAACTCACTACCGTCGAGTCAATCCGACTCATAGTGACCCTTCCTTGGGTTTCTGAGGCAGTATCACTATGGAAGTAGATTGTCCAATCTTTCTTCCAATCTTCCTTCTGAGGGAGTGGCTGTTGGGTTAGAACCACCAGCCTTCTGGTTAGCAGTCAAATGCCTTAGGCACTACACCACCAGAGCTGCTAAGGAACACTAAAAACCAAATCCAAACTCACTGCCACTGAGTTAGATCTGACTCATCGCAACCTCTCCTTGGGTTTCCAAGGTAGTATCTCTACGAAAGTAGACTGCCCACCCTTGCTTCCGAGGAGTGGCTGGTGGGTTTGAACCTCCAGCCTTCTGGTTAACAGTCAAATGCCTTAGGCACTATGCCACCAGAGCTCCCTAAGGAATACTTCTTCTTGTTGTTATGTGCCATCGAGTTGGACCTGACTCATAGCGACCCCTCCTTGGGTTTCTGAGGCAGTATCACTACGGAAGTAGATTGCCCAACCTTCCTTCCAAGGAGTGGTTGGTGGGTTTGAACCTCCAGCCTCTGGTTAGTAGTCAAGTGCCTTAGGTACTACGCTACCAGAGCTCCCAAGGAACACTAGGAAACTGTAAAATTATGTATGTTGAGTAAATAAAATATGAAGAGATATCCAGGAAATATATTAATGAGGACAAATGTATTATCTATTTAGAACAAAATTAAATAGAAAAGTTAGCTAAAAATTAATAAATTTGCACAAAAATTTGAAACTGTAACATGGGCAAAAAGTACAAATTTAGAAAACATATTAGCAATATATATATAACAAAAGGCTAGTCTCCCCATTAGATAAAGTTCCTTAAAACTAGTAAGCAAAAGAAAAATAATCTATTAGAAAACGTGCAAAAGGATATGAACCGTTTTCACAGGTTCAAAAGACATGAAAACCTGCAAAAAGATCTGGTTCTCCAGTGTGCTAGGGCTAAGGACTGGGGAGTAGTAACCACTAGTGGCTAACAGAAAGGATTTCAGAATTAAAGATCTGGGAACTGGGACTCTGTCATCAATAGTTATAAAAAAGCAATTCTCATAAATAAAATGGTTCCTCTCCTTACCTGATTTAGCATGACATCATAGACATCATTCCCTTCACAGTATACATGGGCCTACAGAGGGGAGGGGAAAGAATAATTAGTGCAGTCTCAGCCCTGAGCAGCTCATAAGAGAGGTTCTGAATTTCTTATGCCTTAAGGTGTCATTTTCCAGATTCACCAACACCCACCCATACCATCCTCCAGAGAAGGAAATGTAAACATACATTCTTGGACACCCAGCCTGTTACTCTAATGAAAACTTGCTGCCTTTTTTCTGATTACAGAAACAGTTAAAGGAAGCCTGCTCCAGAGGCAGCCTCTTCTTTATTCTTCAAATCCTTTCTTTTCCTTTTCCTCAGAAATGCATGCCAATCCTGGGCACAGTCTCTCCTTAGAACAAACAGAATGGTACTCCCTCAATAATTTTCTGATACAGAACAAAGTGTGGAAGGCTGATGACAACTCAACATGTAAAGCATGTTAAAAATACCCTGATTATTAACACTCCCATCCCCTAGGCCTTGGAGAAAATAAACTACTAGCAATATTTTGTTGAGGAGTCCTAAAATGATTGTAAGCAATGTCCCAGATAGGAATTACAGTAACAAAACCACACTGCTCCCTGAGAAATCAATGGACTAAGGATCAGCTCTAGAGTCTCACCTTCCCGACCTTGACTGTGCACTCCGGGTCTACAGGAGCTTTGCCTTTTAACAGTAAAGTCTTCACAGATTCTGAGGAAACACAGACATGTACTGGTATGGGAATCAAACACAGCTGACATACTTAGATGGGAAACAAACAGTTGCTATTGAATTGATTCTAATTCATAGTGACCCTGTATGTCTCAGAGTAGAACTGTTTTCCATAAGTCTTTTTTTTTTTTTTTTTAAACTTTTTGTTGTAATTTGGGTTAAAGTTTACAGAGCAAATTGGTTTTCCATTCAACAGTTCATACACGTTTTGCTTTGTGACACTGATTGCAATCCCCACAATGCAACAACATTCTTTCCATTCCCCCATATTTACTATTTCCATTCCTCTTTCTTTCCTATCCCTTCCTGCCTTTTAAGCTTCAACCCTGGGCAAATCCTGCTCTTTTGATCTCTTATGGCTGATTGTTTTAAGGAGTGTGTATCTCCTTGGTGTTACTGTTCACCATACCAAAAACCCACTGCCATCGAGTTGGATCTGACTCACAGCAACCCCTCCTTGGGTTTCCAAGGGGTATCACTACAGAAGTAGACTGCCCAACCTTCCTTCCGAGGAGTGGCTGGTGGATTTGAACTGCCAGCCTTCTGGTTAGCAGTCAAGTGCCTTCGGCACCAGAACTCCCACTGTTCACCATAAGCCCTGTCTATTCTTTGGCTAAAAGTTGAACCACCAAGGTGAGTTCAGTTCCAAGCCTGAAGGGTGTTTAATGGCCATAGTCTCAGGGGTTCCACTAGTCTCGATTAGACCACTAAACCTGGTCTTTTTAAAAATTATTTTGAAATGTGTCCCACATTTTTCTCCTACCCTCTTTAGGATCTCCTACTGTGATCCCTTTCAGGGTGGTTAGCAAAGGTAGCCAGGCACCATCTAGTTCTTCTGGGCTCAAGGTCATTAAAGCTGGGGTTCGTGTGGTCCATTAGTCCTTTGGATTAATGTTACCATATGTCTTTATCTTCATACTTCTTTGCTTCAGATGGGGAGAGACCAATATTTGCACCTTAGATGGTCACTCAGAAGCTTTTAAGACCCCAGTTGCTACTCACCAAAGCAGGAAGAAAAACAATGTCTTTGTGTACTAGGTTATACCAATCAACCTTAATGTCCCCCGAAACTATGGTCCTGAGTCCCCAGACCCTGTGACTCATACCCTCAAGGTGTTTAGTTATGGCTAAGAAGTTTTTATAACTTTGCTCCCTGCATGCTCTACTATGGGAGCTTTGGTGGCGTAGTACCTAAGGCATTTGACTGCTAACCAGAAAGCTGGTGGTTCAAATCCACCTGCCACTTCTTGGAAGGAAGATTGGGCAATCTACTTCTGTAGAGATACCGCCTTAGAAACCCAAGGAAGAGTTGCTATAAGTCAAAACCAACTCAATGGCAATGAGGGTTTTTTTCTTTTTTATGCTCTACTATATTCATGGAGCTCTGGTGGTGTGGTGCCTAAGGCATTTGGCTGCTAAGTACAAGGCTGGTGGTTCAAACCCACCAGCTTCTCCTCGGAAGGAAGGTTGGGCAAGCTACTTCTGTAGTGATACTGCCTCGGAAACCCAAGGAGGGGTCACTATGAGTCAGATTCAACTCGACGGCAGTGAGTTTGAGAGTGAGATATTTAAATACATATGTAGAAATATTCTGTCAAATATAAATATATTCATGTGTATAGTCCCATTCACTTTCCCACACCTATTCAGCTTGCATGTCTCTATCATTGAAAACATAGGGTTTTCAATGGCTGATTTTTCAGAAGTAGATTGCCAGGCCTTTCTTCTGAGGTGTCTCTGGGTAGACTCAAACCACCAAGCCTTTTAGTTAGCATTGGGCACAGTAACCATTTGAACCACCCAGAGACATCTGGTTAGATGGAAACCTATCATAATTAACTTTGCCCTTCCCAAGCAATCCTGATCTGCCCAGGTATTAATCTACCTCAAATAAATGCAAATGAAATTGTTGTTGTTGTTGTTATGTGCCGTTGAGTCCGACCGACTCATAGCGACCCCTTCTTGGGTTTCCGAGGCAGTATCACTACGGATGTAGATTGCCCCATCTTCCTTCCGAATGAAATTAGAGAAATAAATTATATTCTCAAAGAAGGTTGAAATAACAATATATACTCTTATTCCCCAGAGACCCCTTCTGGTCCATGTCCTTCCCGGCCTACACATGAAGCTGACCTTGCTTGTCTTCTGTCTTGTCATAATTATCAGCTTTTCCTCCAGCCACAAGTTCCTTTTTCACCTCCTGCTTCTGGCATCTTCGAGTTTTCTTGGTAGGAGGAGAGTCTTTTGTAGCTGTGTTGCCATTATTAACTCTCTTACTTTGATTTAATGCTAAAGAAGAAGAACAAGAATAGGCAAAGCAAAAGAAAGAGTTAAGTACACATGGAATATCATCCTATATTCCCAAAACACAGTCTTTTTAAAAAAGTGGTTTAAGATGGTTTTGTAAAAGTTACCAAAGAAATAACTGCCAAACCCCTGCTCTTGATAACAGTCTGTGTGAACAATCCTTAAAAATGCAACAAAATAAAAAGGAGCCCCAAGGTTCTTATGAGTTCACCATCCCATGACTTTAAACATGAAAACAATTTTCTTTGTAGCCCTGGACCTATCTCCTTGATCCAACCCAACGATGCACTGTCAATATGTCTCATGATTCATCTTTCACCACTGCCCACTTATCTCTTCAGCACACTTGTGCCACAATGACAAACAAATAGCCATCCTCAAACTAGGTGAGGCAGGGCAGGAGAACAGGAAAATGGCCCCAGAATTTCTGCCTGGCTTAGGGTCCAGGTCTGTCTTTTCTCACTATAGAATTTTGGACAAGTAATTTGATCTCTTTGCACCTCAGTTGCCCAAAATACACGGGACAACAATATACTTCACTTATATCGCTGACCTATTAAAGAATATAATACACAGAGTATATCTTGTCAATTCTAAAAGTCATATTATAACATCTCTGAAATTAGTATTTATCTTACAACAGATGACATATTATAGTGAATCATAGTTCAACTGGAAGAAGTTTTTCTTGCTTAGTGTCACATAAAATAATGGTGTATCTTACAGTGTTTTTAAAATTGATGACATTAGGTAGTTTGAGCTTGGCAAACAGCAGGCACTCAAAGTGCTGACTGTTAAAAGGCCCACTAGATCTTATCCATATTTCTGCAATGCCAAAAGCTCTGAAAACCGAAAACAATTTTTTAAGTTTAGCATCAAAACTAATTTGGTAGGCAAGAAAGTGCGAGTTAGGGGGTGCTGGAATAGGGTAGGGTTCAAACAGGTAACACCGTCTCTTTACCCTCTCCCGCCTCCCTCCTACCCCTCTCCGGCATTGCGTCGCCCAACACTAAGCGCCAAACCTCGAGAGCGGCTGCACCTAGTCCCTGGCTGCCGTGCCGCCATGGAGCCAGAACACTGACTTCACGAACCCGCTCACAGAAATCAAGGGCTCAAAGTCTTACAGCCGGAAGAGCAGCGCGCCTGCGCACAAGCAAGACGCACACGCGGGACGGGGAGGCACGCCTCCTGGAAGGGCCATGATATTTGCATGTCGCTGTGTATTGTTGTTTAAAGATGTATTTCAAGATGGTTTTAGAAAAGTTACCAAAGAAATAATTGCCACTGCCCTGATTTTGATAACATATACGGTCGCTACGAGTCGGAATTGACTCGATGGCAATGAGTTATGCAAACTATGAGAAGGCACCCTAACCATTAAATGTTGAAAGCTATGGCATTCTTATATAGTTTGGCCAAGTTAGTTTCGTTCCGTAGGGCGGAGGGAAGCTCATCGGTGGGGCTACACGCTGAGTGCAGTTGTCACTCTACACCGTGTCCCTTGGGAAGGTCTGAGACTAGGGCCAGCAGCGGCCCTAACAGGGCCCTCCCTGAGTTTCGGGGAGGTGAGTTCCCAGAGAACGGGGCTCCGCGCACGGGCAGAATGGGCAGGAGAAGCCGTGGACTCCACCCTAGGGAGGGGCCCGGTGGATGCCTCCTTTGCAGGAGCTTGGAACAGACTCACGGCCAGCGAAGTGAGTTCAATGGCTGAGGTGAGGTACCCCTCCAAGGGGCCTCATAACCCAATTCAGACTACTCTCCCCCGTCCGTCCTACTTTTTATGCAGATAAGATATTCTTTTAGTTAGAATACAATCTGATAAGCATTTAGTTAGAATATAATGTGGACTTACAGAGAGATAAATTAGTCTGAGTGTAGGTTATATAATATGAGAAGACACATTAAAGTTGAATTTGACCTGGGACCTGGGGGAAGGTGACATTGTTGATTAGAAATGTACTTGGAGACATTAAATCCAGAGAAGGCAGAAGGCAGATTTTTTTTTTTTTTTTTTTTTTTTTTTAGGTCAGGGGATCTGAAATGTTTGGGTGCCTAAGAATCCTGGAAAGTCAGGGCAGCGCACTTAACAAATCATTCCTGGACCCAGACCCCAAAACCTCTGAATCAGTCTCTGGCAGTGGGAAAGGGGGAACAGGAATCTGCACTTTAAAAAAAGCACACCTGGTAACTCTGTCTCAGACAACACAGGGAAATGATTTCATTATATACGAAATTATATATATGCAAAACCTTCTAAAGTGTTGTTGATTGCTATGCAGTTGATCTGACGACCTCATGTGTTTCAGAATAGAACTGCAGTTCCCAGAGGTTCAAGACTGTGATCTTCTAAAGCTGATAGCCAGGCCTGTCTTCCAAGGTGCCTCTGGGTGGGTTCAAACCACCAACCTTTCCGCTAGTAGTCAAAGTCATAACTGAGCCACCCCAGGACACCACCTTCTAAACTAAATATTATCAAATAAAATCAGCAGCTTATTAAAATAAGGTAACATGAACAAGTAGATTTTACCCCAAATATGGAAGAATGGTTCAAAATTAGGAAATTCATTATTTAGTTTCTTGGGCACCTTTGGTGAGTGTTGGGGATATAATAATTTAGCCAAAATAAATGTAGTTCATGTCTTCCTGGAGCTTATAGTCTAGTTAAGGACAGACTTATATTAATTTGAATCATCACACAAAGAATATGAAAGTGTTGTTGTAAGAAGGGAAATTCTTCTGGTGGAGCAGTCTATCAGTCAGAGGTTGGGGACTGTTCATCTGGGAAATGACATGAGCTCTGTCAAAACAATCAATAGAAAAGAGGTGAGACACAAGGTGATTGGAGCACTGGGAACGGGGTATCGTGGTGTGAGATGAAGCTGAAGGGGCAGCCAAGGACTCAAAGCAAGATGGCCCTTCCAAGCCAAGGCAAAGACTTGTGGTTTGTTCTAAGATGGATATTCTAACAACAGATGGATCAAAGACTAATTGCAAAAATAAAACTCAAAACCCTTGAGCAGAAATTACTGGTAAATATAATTCATATCTTGAGTTAGAGAAAGATCTTCTTAACATAGAAAACTTACTGACTCTAAGAGAAAACAAGGAGCTCTGGTGGTGTAGTGGATAAGACATTTGGCTGCTAACTGGAAGATCAGTGGTTCAAAGCAAAAAGCTGCTCAGCAGAAGGAAGACTGGGCGATCTACTTCTGTGAAGATTTACAGCCTCGGAAACCCAATGGGGATTGCTTTGAGTAGGAAACAACTTGATGGCAGTGAGTTTGGTTTGGTTTTTTTTATAAGAGAAAGTATTGATAACTTGATTTTATTAAAATTAAGAGCATTTGTTCATCAACAGATATAAACTTAAGAAACAAGAAAATACAATTCTCGTTACTTCATGTGATTGGAATGTAAATATGAAAAATCCAGAAGAAACTACAGGGTAAATTTTTAAACTTAAGAGAAGAGTTTAAATCACTGTCATCAAGTTAATTCCCACTCATAGTGACCCCACTGGGTTTCCAAGGCTATGAGTCCTTACAGAAATAGATTGCCTCATCTTCCTTCTGTGGAGCAGCTGGTGGATTTGAGCTGTTGACCTTCCAGTTAGCAGCCAAATGCCTTAACCACTACAGCACCAGAGCTCCTTTTTAGATGAGCTTAACCACCAAAAAAAAAAAAAAACTCACTGCCAGCAAGTCAATTCCAACTCACAGCAACCCCCTTTGGGTTTTGGAGGCTGTAAATCTTTTTATTATTATTATTTTTTATTATTATTATTTTATTGTGATTTGGGTGAAGATTTACAGAGCAAATTCACTTTCCATACAGCAGTTCACATATACTTTGTCTCATGTCATTGACCACAGTTTACCACAATGCAACAGCTCCCCTCCCACTTCCTCCCCATAGCTACCTCTTCCCAGTGTCCATCGCTCCATACTCTCCTGCCCCCTGCGCTGTCTCCCTGTGCATAAGCAGCCCTTCCTTCTCCCATGATTGTTCTCTCCAGGGCGTGTGTCTACTTGAGATAAATGTTTAACTCACATGCTTGTACTTTGTTTAGCTGGAAACCACAGGTATGGGTTCAATTCCAGACCTGAAGGGCAGCTAGGGGCCATACTCTCAGTGGTTCCACCAGGCTCTATTGGACCATCCGAGGCTGTAAATCTTTACAGAAGTAGATTGCCCAATCTGCCTTCCATGGAGTGCCTGGTGGGTTTGAACCAGCAACCTTCTGGTTAGCAGTCAAATACCCTAGGCACTACACCACACAAGCTTCTTTAAGAACAGCTTACATGATTGAATATATGCATGTATCGCTGGAGGCTTAATAGTTAAGTGCTTTGCTGCTAAGTGAAAGAATGAAGGTTACCTGATGACCTGCTACCATAAAGATTATAGCCTAAGAAACTCTATGGGGCAGTTCTACTCTGCCATGTATATGTCGGGTTGCTATGAGTCTGAACGACTTATGTGCATGTATGTGTGTACGTTATTATTGCTAAGTGCCATTGAGTCAGTTCTGACTCATAAAGACAACAAAATGAAACACTGCCTGGTACTCACAATTGTTGCTATGTTTGAGCCCGTTGTTGCAGCCTTTATGTTACTCTGTCTTGTTCAGGGTCTTCCTCTTTTTTGCTGACGCTCTACTTTACCAGACTTGATGCCCTTCTTTTTTTTTTTTTTTATTAGGAATTGGGTGAAGATTTACAGAGTAAATTCACTTTTCATACAACAGTTCACATATACTTTGTCTCATGTCATT